TTCTAAAACGTAATAACCAAATAAAATAAATGATTTGCTTCGTTTAAAGCTGATACTATTTTGTAATGAGAAAAAATGCCATAAAGCTCAAATTTTCTTTCAATGCTGTTTGTTTTAACTAGTTATACAACACTGTCTGCTGATTTAGAGCTAAGTTTCACAGCACTACATAGGAGCTTCATTACTAAGCTTTGATTTTGACTGGTTATGCCAAAATGTGCGTCTATTTAATATTTTGCAACACTGGCAACTTAGCAATATTCAAAACAATTACCATACAGTGTTGTAAAATGTTTTGTGGCATATAAAATATCAGCATTACCAAATGCAGATTGGCTTTAGCTAATCATTTAAAAATATCTGAGACTTTTTAAAATATAAATCGTTGCCCTTCTTCTTTTTTAATCACGGTTTTATTTATATTTACCTCACAATTCCAGCTTTATTTATGCATTAAATACAATAACCTTTGGCTAACCGCATCAATATTTAAGCTTTAAATGCTTGCAATTCGAATATCCTAGCATATGCAACACCCTGCTAAATGGTTTCATTATTAATGCATGGGGTTTATAACACATGTTTTGGCATTCTCTGCAACACGAACGTGTCTGTTTATGTGCGAAAAGTAAGAATAGTCAGTGTGACGGTGAAGAATGTAATGGCTAAGAGATAGCCTGTAAATGAAGTTAAGGTAGGGAAGTCAAGTTTATGTTCTCAAAATCACGCCAATTTCTTAGTTTTTACCAGAAAATTTCGTTTAGCTATGCTGAATTCTTCTTCATATTATTTCTTTTAATTTCATATTTAATTCAAGCGCATTTTTGCATATTTTTAGATAAGATAGTTCACTCTGAATTTAAGAATAATAAAAAATATCTCGTAAGCATTTAAGAAGAATTTGCTCTACATATTTTAGGAAAAAATTGTTTAATTCTATTATTTTTGTTTCTTAAATAAGTTATGTGTTTGTTATAGAAAAATTGGAATAAATTTTGGATATAAAAGAAAAATTCTGTGATATAAGTGTAGCAAAAAACAAAGTTTCACATTCTCAGGTTAGTTTAAAATGATAATTTAAAATATAACGAGTAACGCCGGGTGATTTCTTCTAGTATACTCCAAGAATGTGTAAGCAGGCGAATGTTAAGCTGTTTCGACTGAACTTTTACATATATATATATGGCATAGGTACCCCAGAACTAGTATGCCACTTCTAAGCAATTTGATGGTTACAGGGTATCGAAACAAAAGTAAACTGAAACTAAGGAAAAAATGCCACTAAATAAGCAAAGACTTTGGGTCGCTCGCTCACTTAGCTGGGCTCTCCAAATAGTTGGCCGGGGCACTTGAGCAATGGGAACGCAGGACATTAGACGCCACCAATGCTGCCATAAACTGAAGCCTGTGGCAGCATCTACGTGCCGCAGCTGGCAACGACATGCACGGACTTGTGCCATGTGCCTCAATATTTGGCCACGGAACGGTTATGCCATTGTTGTTTTTGTGGGCGCCTGTTATTGTTTTTGTGGGCGTGCGTGCGTTTAGGACCAACACTTTATGACTGCGTGTTCGTGCGTGTGTGTGTGTGTATGTGTGTGCTTTCCAATTAAGCCCGATAGATAAAGCACAACATGAAACTGAGGTGAAAGCCAAAGTTGGACTTGGCTAAGACAATGCCAAAACACGCGCAGACAACTTTGGCTTGTTATGTCAGCGACACAGGAAGGCACACACACACGCACAATCAGCGTCGAGTGTCAAAAAGCGTTGTCTGCTTTTAGGCGCCTGTTGAAAGCTGCTCACAATAAGTCAACTGCAACCTGTGGGAAAGCCGCCACGCTCGTCTCGCTTAACTCGGCAATCAATGAACATTTGCCTAATCTCAGTTTTTCACTTTGGAAAATTGCGCTGCTGCTGCTGCCGTTGTTGGCGCTGTTTGGCTTTTGTCATTTTGGCGCGCTTCGAGGTTATTATTCAATTTTCGCACAAATTGCTCACATAAGCGGATTAGGTTGACAAACACATACCCTGCACAACACAATCCAGCACCAGCCGCCGCCCAACACTGGCATTGTGCAGCTCGAAAACAAGCTATAAATCAGCTTAAATTTACACTTTGCCTCTGACAACTTCAGCATACAAAATAAAAGAAATAAAACGAGAAAAATTGTGAACGAACGCAAATTTTCTTCCTTCAAATATTTTTCATGCGTTGTGTTCTGTAATCGATATTAAAATCCGCTTAGCTTTATTTCCCATTTGCTTTTTCCTCAAGTATTTTCTCGATGCCGTCGCCAACAATGGCCCAAATGTAATAACAAGTCTTTTATGTGTGTTCCTTCCCCCAGCCCAATTGCCCATTTGTTCAGTTCGAGCCAGGCAAGTGTTAATGAAGCTGAAACCGAATATCACATCAAGCTGTCGACTTTTAGCAGGTGGAAATTGTGTATGTACCAAATAGAAGGTGGCCTATACATTACCTTTGTTACAGGTTTGAACAAAAGACTTGTCTTTAAAAGCAGCTGAAAGCTTTTAGCTCAGGATACTGAAGGACAAGAGTTAGAGAATTTGATAACAGATGTATATAAATTTATATATATATCTCGATATCATGATTTCTCGCTCTTAAATGTCAGATATAAGTAAAATATTCTCCAAATTTGCGAAATTGATAAACAATTTTTAAATATTATAAAGCTACAGATTCTGATCGTAGAGAACTACAATAACAAAATACAAAACCAAGCGAACTCATTTGTTATACATTTCAAATTAAACCCAATAAAAACTCGCTCAGCTTTTAAGAGCTTTATTTTCCCGCCGAGCATCTCGCTCTCAATATGTCCTCCATTGACTCGTTATTCTGGCCATTTTATTTGTGGTCAACTCCGGTGGTTAACGTGTTTTTAATTATGCCTCAACGACAGGCTCATTACGAGAGCGCTGCACATGAGTTAAACAACGTTTGGGAGGTCCTTGATTAATGCATGAGTAGCCAAAGGACGACAGGACGACGGGGCAACATGACTGCAGGAAGCGGGAAGTCTAGGCTGATAATGTGCACACACACATGTATGTGCGTGTGTGTGTGTTTTGGCTCGTAAACTGGCAATGACGTAAGGCGTTAGGCGTAAGGCATCTACGTAACGAAAGAGCGCGATAAAATTGCGGAAGCGCTGAGAATGCCGATGGCATCGTGCCCCAGCTAATGATGAAAATGTCGCTTATACCCATTGAAAAAATGAAGAGGGTATATTGGTGATGTGCAGCAGAAGACGGACCTCATAACGTGAAGCAGAAAACGGACCTCATCACGTAAAAGTTATTTAAGAATGCGTCTTTCGTTCATTGCATCTGCTGAGCTCCAAAGCAAAGAGTCTGTTTTTTGGCAAAAAGAATCTTCATACAGGGTAACTGCTAGTCGAGATTGATTGACTAGAGCAACCTTATTTGTTGCTTTTTACGTGCCACGGGCGATTCGCATCGTCAACCTTTTTCACCTCTTTTGTATGCCCAACACATGCGTTGTCTACACTAAGGAATATGTAAGGAAAATTTGAAAGGTTGAGGGGGGGGGGGGGGGCTATGGAGGAATGTGCAGGTGGGAAAAATGTAACTCACCTGTCAGCCGGGCAAACAAGCTAAACGCTACAGCCATACAGCAGGCTAACCATATGGGGCTCAGGCTTCGTGACACTCTCATAAACGATTCAGATTCCGTTCCAGTTGCCTGTCCTCCGCGCTGCCCCCACCGCTGTCCCGTCGCTGCCGCTGTGTGGACTATCTCTGGCTTAAAGTTGTCGTTGGCGTATCCGTTGCGCCGTACAGCGACTGGCTTCAGTTCCGCTGAGGTTTTCATACGGAAATCGGTTTGTCTTACGGCTGCCTGCACATGCGGCTTGCCAAATGCCGCTGCATTTGTAGAATTTCTTATGCACAGCAGCAGATGACAACGAGTCTGAAGTAACTTAAGATATAAGTTAAAGATGTTCTTGAATTAAGAAGCTTCTTGATTTCGCCAATGCCCAGTGGCAATTGCAAATTCCGCGCTGCGCAAGCTTTTAAGCTGTCGTAAGCGTTCGTTCTTTTAAACAGTTTGGGAATTCGAAGCGTTTAATAGGTATGTGAGTAAAGCTCTTCTGTGTTAATGTGTGCTTTAATTCCTAAGCCTTCTTTCTCTTGAACAGTTTGGGAATTCAAAGCTTTTAATGGGTATATGAGTAAAGGTCGTATGGTTTAGTGTCTGCTTTAATCATTTATAAACATTGACTCAAAATTAAAGCTTAAAATTATTTAAATTAAGCATTTAAAGTTTTTTTTGGGAATCAGTTTCAATATATATGAGGCCGTATTGAAGAATCTCCATAATAATTCTTGATAACTTAACGTTTTGCGCAAATCCACTCATATTTCGCGTTTGTCACAAGTCGGTTTTGAATCGTTTTGAGTTTTTGTGGAATCACCTCAACAAATATTTTATCTGTGGCTTGTAGATGCGGCAAACGAGCATGTTTTATGTAAGGCTTTTATGCTGCTCATGTTTACACAGACAACTCACCAATTCCCCCCGGCGCCACACCCGGGGCATCCACTTACCTTTAGATCATTTAAAGTGTCTGCCCTGCTTTGCCCTGCTTTTCCATTTTATGATGCCTTAAAAAAAATAAATATAAAAAAATGACAAAATTAGCGCAACAAACTTGCGTCTTACGTGTCGTATGCGCAATGTGCCGAAAGTTGTTGACTTCGCTGCGAAAGATGAGAATGTTAAGTCGTTTAACCTACATGCTGCACATTAGAGTATGCGTTGAGTACTTGACGCTTGACAGATTTGATGACCCGGCCCCCTTCCGCTCCCAAAGACCCCGCCAGCTGCGCCCGTTTCAGCAATTACATTAAGTATACGCCGGGCTGTGCAGAGTTTTTTCCGCTTGCCGCTCAACTTTTACGGTGATTGTTTACTTTTGATATTTGTATAGAATAAACCACACTTTGCATTTAGTTTTATAATTCTTTTTGCAATTTTTATTTGACGTAAATGAAAAACGCATTTCAATTTATTACGCATACGCACGGTATACGGGCAAATAAACATACAATACTCGTATTTGGTTTTTCTTTTCTTCTCTGGATTTTCAAATTTTCCCCATATTTCTTTTCATAAAAACTAGCAATATTAATTTACACACAACAACAACAAAAGAGAAAACTCATCAAAATTAACAATCATTTTATATATAAAATAGAAAAAAAATAAAGTAATTGGAATGTCAAATTGATTTGAACATAAACAAAAGGCTCAACAATATGCGCAATTTAAATGCTCGTTCGTGTGTGTTTTTGTTAAGTAGAAAAACATGTTTCCTTTTATTGTGAAATTGAAAATATTTCCAATAAATTATTTGCAAGCAATTGAATAATACAAATTTGAACAAATTAATTTTATGTAAATTTTCTTCAGTTTGGCCTTGCTTTAAATAATAATAATATATACACTTAAACTTGTTGTTGCTCTTCTTTTTTTTTTTAAAGGTTTTATATACTTAAATTTATAACTAAAACTAATGATAACATTTCTCTCTCTCTCTCTCCCACTGCTGCGTCTTCTGCTTTTGTTCCAGTTTTCTTATTTATTTTTTTTGTTAGTTTTATTCTCTGAATAGTTGGAATTGGTTTTTTTGCTCTTTGTTCGGCTGCTAGCTAGATGAAAAGTGTTTGCTTTCAACGGTTAATTGACTTGAGGAATGTGTGTTAAAAATTGAGTTGAGTTGAGTTGAGTTAAGTTGAGTTGAGTTGAGCTGAGTTCAGTGTTGGTTAATGGAAATTAATGTTGAGTTCTTAAGCAGTTTGCGAAAAGTATTGTACGAGTACATGCATAATACATATATGTATTTTTTAATATATTTTTTAAATATTTTTTTTTACATATACAAAAAATTAATCAGTCTAAGTACGTGTTTATTTTTTTTTGTATGCATTGTGTTGGAAAATAGTACATACATATTCATATACACATACATATATATATATATACCAATGCATTTTAACAATTTTTAGCCGCAACGGCTAGACTAATACACATTCAACTTTAACTTAAATATGGTATAGTTGAAACTTTTGTTTTTGTCGTTTTTCTTTTACATATAAACCCATTCTTGTACTTGTCGTATTTAAGTTTGTGTGTGTGTGTGTGTCTGTGTAACTGAGTATATATGTGTGTGTGGTTAACCGTATTTCAAACATAGAAACCACATACAACATCATTATCATCAACGTCATCAAATCCGAACAGTTGTAACTTATATATCACGACCTACACTCCCACTTTTTCCTTGCCAGCAGAACGTCTTTTTTCAGGGAGCCTCAATTTCTCGTCGTATCGTAATTTTCTCTGTTTAGTTGGTCGATTCCTGCATTTGTTCTTTAGTTTCTCACGCATATTTGGTAAAGGCCCAACGTTGCGTGGACAGCGCCGAATTGCAGCCCTGCGCACTGATGCCCTGCTCATTGTGATCCCGACTATCCAGACACACATTGATCTTGTTGTGCTTCACAAGACCGCCGTCCCGCATGATCCAGCGTTGGTTTTCCGTATCGTCGCATGACTTCAGCACCACCTGCGAGCCGCGGGCGAACTGGACGAGCGTCAGGCAGAGATCATCGTGCTTGATTTCGCCACGTTTCGAGTACGCCCATTCCTGATTGCCGCCCGTATTGTGGCAGGGGAATAGACCTGTAAAAGTGTTAATGAAATAAAATGGTAGTGTTGCAAAAGGCCAAAATCTCAATATGCAAAGTTTGATTAAGAGCACCTCATTAGAGTTAAAGGGTTTTAGTGTTAGAAAGCGTTTGATAAACGTTTGAAGCTAGTTAGTTCTTATTGATAATGATTACAAATCATGATATCCAAAAAAAAAACTACCCTTTCCTATGAACTATTCAGCTAAAAGGAAGTTGATAGTGTTGTGAAATGTAATTATAAAAGTTTGTATTCGTGTTGGGTATTGGAAAATGTCCAAATAAGTGTTTACACAACTATCTTATGGATAAATCAGTGCCGAAAGTGTTGTAAGTGTTGCAAAATACACTTTGTATACATTAAAAAATTATTTAAAATATATTATATATCTTTTAGTTTTTGCCTGATTAATTTTTGGACCCACCATAGCTACCTTGATAATTATATACTTATTATACTTTTTTTTTTTTTGTTCACTTACCCACAGTGCCGTCAATTACGTGACCCATAGTATCCAAGCATTCGGTTGTATCCTGTCTGAATTGGCCCACCTCCTGTGGCTCAGGCGCCTGCAGATCGGGATAGACGTTCTCCAAATACCATTTAAACGGCTTGCAATGCAATTTCTCCTTCAAAGCCAAACGATCATCAATGCTAAAGGGAAAACAAAAAAAGAGAAAGAAACAAATTGAGATACAGATTTGCAGTTAGCTTTGCTGACGTCCTTAACTCACTTGCCAAACGGAATATTCTTGGCCAGCGGCACCGCATTGTAATAGTGCTGCTTGTAGTCATCCATCCAAACCTCGGCGGCTCGTCGTGTATTTCTGGCAAAGACGTTGCCACTGCCGCCGGGGAAGGTGTAGGGATGACGCTTGCGGAACACATGGCCAACACGACTGCAGGGTATTATCTCCAGGCTGCCGCCGCATTGCCACACCCTGAACGAGATTTCCAGATTCTCACCGCCCCACACATCCATCTTCATATCGTATTTGCCCAGCTTATTGAAGTACGCCTTATCGATGACAAACAGCCCGCCCGCAATCATGGGCGTGCGTATGGCTGTGGTCGGATCATTGTGCCGGGTCGCACGCTCCGTGGGACTCAGATATTCCCATTTGAATATCAGATTCCAATCGAAACCGCCGCGCAGATCTGCCGAGGCGCCAATATACTGAAAGTTGTCCATGCTAATCACATCGATGACGGGGCATACCACACGCGTCGGATCCTCCCGCACACGTTCCAACAGCGGCTCCAGCCACTGCTCGTTGCACTCGACGTGGCTGTCGAGGAAGGTTAAAACGCTGCTAACGGCTGCATCGGCACCGCGTACACGTGATCTGACTAAGCCCTCGCGTTTATCGTTGCGTATGATGCGCACCTTGTCGATCTTGGCCAACTCCAGACCGTCCTCGGCTAGAAGGCGGAGTTATCATTAAATTTTGGTAAGTTTCCCATAATAGAAATCGTTTATTTGTATGTTTTGTTATTGCTGTATATGAACTGGCATAAAAGAAGTCGCTAGTTCGATTTGAGGACTGCACTATATGGCTGCTAGAGTTGCCACAACTCTGAAGCTCAGAATTCTATAATCAATTAGCTTTCGCAGCGTGGTGGCAAAGAAGTTCTTAGGATCAAAGTCGTCTTAAGACTGCAAGAATTTAATATATTTATATGGAAGCCATTTATAGTAGGGTTGAATTATGGCTTAAAAGTGGTTCGCTGTCTTAACTCGGCAACTATCGAAGTTATAAAACTAAAACTGGCTATAAATGTGCTTCGCATCTTATTAAAAAGTTCTGCAAAAGTAATCCAAACGCAAGCGTTATATACTTTCAGATATTATGAAAATATTCAGACAAATCGAATACTTATATAAATTGTATAAAAGGGTTCACAGTCTCAGCATAAATCTGAGCTATAAGAAATATCCATTTTCGGTAAATAAGCTGACACTTTAATATATTCCAAACGCAATAACATATGGAAGGCAATTAAAGCAGGTGATAAATTGGTTTCCATATTAGAAAATCCTTTACCTATCAATTGTAGAAGTCTTAATTATAGACTCAAACTCTGTCTTCAACAGCAGTTCAAAGTCTTGATTGAGCATATATTTAACATACGCAGCTAAACTTTGTTAAAAATGCTATATATACATATATGAACTGAAATATATCCTAGATAAAAGACCTAATCGACCGAAATTTACGTGCGTGCAGAAAGCAGAGTATAATGTTTGCATCTTTAAAATATGTAAGCATTGGTTCTCAAATTGGTAGCTCCTAATGTATCTCAGCTAAACAGCTGAAAATTGGCATACTAGATAGTAATATATAATTAGTTATAGCTTCTATATAAAACAAACTCAAAAGCCAATCAAATTCAAGTTTTGGTCAAATGCAAAATATTTAAAATGCTCAAGAAATCAGAAAAACCAAACTAATCGTAATTAATTCAAATACTTACGATGATCACTGTAATCATCGACCAGCACAATTTCGCGTATTAGGTGCTCGGGACTGCGATTCAGAACGCTGACAATGGTGCGCAGCAGCGTTGATCTGGCTTCATTGTGGAAGGTGATGATGACGCTCGTCTCGGGCAGATCCTCGCGATACTTTTTCGTGCGGCACCTGAAGCACAAATTCCAAATTCCAGCATGAGTTCAGATTGTGGTATGTATTTTCTTTTTCACTTACATGGGATTCCTGGTGTCGGGTATTTCGCGATTGCTGGGCAGCGCATCGCTGGCCTCCTGATTGAAGCGATTCCGTATGTACGGATCCTCGCCGCTGCGCAGCCCGCCGCCGCGTATGTAGCCCGCCTCGTCAAAGTACTCGACCTCGCCGCCGCGAGCGCTGGGTCCAACGGCCAGGCGACCGCCGACAGTGCCGCCGGCGCTGCCGCTGATGCCTTGAGAGGTCTCCTCCAGCGCCACAATGCCATTCAACTTGAGGCCATGCACCGCATTGCGTTCAAAGTCCTTCACAGAGCCGATTAAAATGACATTGCCACCGGGATCATCGGCACCGCTGCCCCCGATGCCGCCAGCCACACGTATGCCCGAGTTGGCAGCCGGCGCCCACTGACGAGATGTCGATGCGCCTGCCGATATATCGTCCTGATACTGTTGCATGGCCGTTGCCACCTCACGTAAGCGCAGCGCTCGATTTTCAACCTGAATGCCAAGAGAGAGAGAGAGGGAGAGAGAGAGAGAGAGAGTTGCCCCATTTAATTTATTTCTTTAATCTGCGGTACTTTGGTGACGTCGCCAATGCGGCAATAATTCAACACAGCTGAAAACAGACGCTTGTTAAAGAGGGTGGAGGGGGGAGGGGGGGGGGGGGTGCAGGATTGGAGCGTTCTACAACTTGCAACAGAAGAAGGAGGGGAACAAAAAAAACCTCTTCAGTTTACACTTTTCGAGCCAGGGGCTGACTTATGGCTGAGAGCGCAGAACACAAAAATTGTTGTTTGCCAGTTTCGTGTTTTGTTTCAAAGATTCATAATCCATAAAGAGTGGCAAAGGTGCCATAGTCTGACCCAGTTACAGTTTGCTAAACCGGAAAAAATACACTTAAATTTATATGCGACAAGTTTTGGGTGTGCAATAAATTGTTTGAAACTCTTTCTAAGTACTAGACTATGCCGGAATATAATGCAAGCAGTTTAGGTATACAAGCAGAGATGAGAGAAATATCGATTATAAAAATCGAATATCTTCCAATCTTGGTATCACTTTTATGTTGTGTCTCGGCGTTCTACTAAATTATTTATGCAAACAGATTTGAGAGCAGATTAAAATATTATTTAAATTAGTATAAAATCAAAAAAAATTCAAACACTTTCTTATATGTAGTCTATTCATTTCTTATATTTACTAATATCCAAATAACTTTGAGATTATATTTCTGTAAAGAGACCAAAAAATGGTATATAATTTTTTTTAATATCGATTAGTATCGATTATTGTCGACCTTTGTCGATAACTACCGACGTTGATAGATTATTATCGATTTTCATCGATTATAGCGATTTATCATTTATATATTTAAATTTAACACAATTATCACTGTAGAAACTAGTATTTTTTTTAATAGTCTTACGTTGAAATTATAAATATTAACATTTGCCTCAATAATATAACGTATTAAAGTAAAAGTAAATCAAAAGTGTGCTCGAAGGCTGCCCCACGTCCAACTTAAGCTTGTATGTGTCAAGTTTTCCAAAACTCGTGCGAAAATCTCAATCAAATGGCAAAACCCTGAAAAGGGTAGCAGCTGTTGAGGACTTGGAAACACGGCCAAACTTCCTTGTACAGAATTCAATTGGCAACCATTCGGTCTTAAAGTTTGATGAGGAGGCAGCGCATAAACTTTTGGACTCAACTAATGATCCATTGCTTTTGTTGTTATTCTTGTTCTTGTTCCTGCTGTTGTTGTTGCTTAAAGCTATTAAAAAGCCAAATATTGACCGACTTTAATCGAGCGAGACAGAGTGCAGAAGAGAGAGTGAGAGAGAGAGAGAGAGAGAGAGAGAGAGAGAGAGAGAGACGTCGTGAGCGCTGCCCTTGACTCGATTATTAATTGCCTTCTATATTTGAATCTATTTGTCATGCTTTTTCCTGGCTTTATAAGCCAAAGTACAGGGCACAAAATAAAAATTTCGTGTATTGCAGACCCTCATTTGTTATACGCTGCGTATGCGTGTTTTTTTTTATAATTTATTTTTAATTTTAGCGTAGTGCGTCACGTTTCGAATTCAACTTCCGTTTCATTTGACTAGGTTTTGGTTTAGCATTTTCTTACGATTTACATGAGACGTGCGCCTTTTAACGCCATTTCGAACGCATTTTTTATTGCGATTCAAAGGAGCGCAACAGTCCCAACTCAAGAGAGCTTTCAGCACATTCAACACGAGACACAAGTCGCCAAGACTTTTTGACCCTTTCAACGGGCAACGTGTCTGCATTTTAAAATATGTTTTTAAAATGCTCTCAAAGCTTGAATTATGTGACTTTCTGCATTAGTTACAATTGAAAACGAAAGGATGTGCGAGAGGGGTTTCGTTTCGTCTGTTTGGTGCGCATTTTATATAAGCCCTTGTTTTTGCTTGTTTAACAATCACAGCTGAAATGTTTGGCTTAATTTTCAAATTTATAATGTACTCCAATTTACAAGCAGGGGTTAAATTTTACTTGCAAATTAAAAAAGCTAGATATATTTTAACTAAGCTACATTCCCATTTCTACTCGATCTTCTTCTTACAGTTACAATAAAAATAAATGTATTATTTTTATTTTATAAAGAATTAAAATTTACAAGCAGGAGTTAAATTTTACGAGCAAGTTTAACCGTAGTTTAATGCTAGTAAATAAATCATCTTTACACCTTTTTCGTTTGTTATTGTTTATTAACAATCACAATAAAATTAAAGATAACTTTTTTAATTTTTAAGATGCTTCGGCCTACAAGCAAGAGTCAAATTTTACAATCAAGTTTAACTGAAGTTTCAAACGATCTTGGTCTTCCTGTTGTTTTACAATTACAAATAACTTGACGTAAATTTAATAAACTTGATTTACAAGCTGGATTTGATCGCAATCGCAATCAAATTAAAGTTAATTTTCAAATTTATATTGTACTTCTATTTACAAGTAGAAGTTAAATTTTACAAATTTGGCATAAATTTCCTTCTAGAAATTATATCATCTAATCAAACTATCAAGTCAACAACAAAGAAATCTCACACAGTTATGAATTTATATATTCTTATATCTTTATATATAAAGAAAGTCTGCGTAAATATTTTTGTGCATTTACCAACACTTTTGCTTTTTAATAAACTTCTTTCATTTAGTTTTGATTTATCAAAATATTTATGTTCACAGTGAGACAGCTCCATTAAAGACTTATTCCCTTACTAAGCCAACTATAAATATTGTGCTCATCTAAATGCGCATTTTAAATGCGTTTGTCTCTTTTTATATTGCCCATAACAATGTTCTTAGTCTGCTTCTGTATCGGATGAGCTTATGGTATAAAATCAAGATGCATTCAGCTGCGATGCCATTGGTTATTATCCTTAATTACGAGCAGAGACTGAGCTGCTTTTTACTTTTGTGCATACACTAAATGACGGGCGGGCTAAAGGAAAATAAAAGAAAAAAGTACAAAAAGAATAAGAAGAAAACGAAAGCTGTGTGTGATATGTGACAATGAAGTCTGTGTAAAATGGAGACGACAAAAGACGAGAATGAACATGGAATTAATAAACAAGCGTTGTGTATGGAAAACCGACAATTAAATACCCTAGCAAGTGTATGAAATACATGTTTATATTGATATCGATTATGTTTATCGATGTGTATCGACTACTGCATCGACTATGTATATCCCATGTGCATATTGTCTGTATGTTTATATATGCTATCCAAATATTTCCTTTTCAAATCAAATCGAATCAAATCAAAGCGAGTATCTATTACAAATATGTATAACGAAGCTGTCTGTCGTAAATGTATATCGAATATTTATATCTGGAATGTTGACTAAACATGTTTCATCGCTTTGTATATCGAATTTATATTTAGATAATGTGTGATTTCGTATTTCCATCGATTATTTTTAACTTCATATACCCATCAGTAACTAACACGATTATCGACTATGTATATCGAGTGTAAAATATTAAATAATAAGCCCATATCGAATATATTTTATAATAGCTATCGTTTATCGACTATATATACATCATTACAAATCAACTTCAATGCCTTGCAAGTTTGCCACTCGACACATAATCAACGTAGCCACTTTAAAGCTCAGAAATGGCTATGCAGGTGCACACTGCGTATACGCAATGTTCCAGACATGAAACTAGTACGCTTCTTATCGCAGGTCATCCAGTATGAAATAGGTATTGTACGGATACCCCCACTTAAATCACAGCCCTCCCCCAAACCGCCGTCAGTTGCCATGCAGATGCCATTGGCAACAGTTTCAATTTTGCCATTCGATTTGTCGCTTTTGCATCGCTCTTCGCTCATGTGTAACTTAATTAGTTTCATTGTTTGTTGTGTGTGTGTTGTGTTGTGTGTTGGTCGAATGAGAGCTGGAGGGGGCGGTGGTGGGGTAGTTTGGGGACTTATGGTCATTGATTGGCTGCGATGCTGTGTGCCCGGACGCTTTATGTGCTGAACTATGTAAGCGGCTTATTTGTAGATCATTATGCGCATTTTGTAGTTGTAATTGACAGCGGCAACAATCGAGAACAAAACCGAAACCGAACTCGACCCCGGGAACGAGCCCACACAGTAACCCGTATGCAATCGATATATTGGTTATTAACTTGTTACTGCCACTAATTAGGCATAAATCAAATGAGTGTGTTTTGCCTTTATAATAAATTGCTAACGCATTTGACGCTCCTCCCTCGCCTCCCCTCCCCACTCTCATAACTAGATTTATAGATGGGCTCGACGCGAAAATTGGCAAAGTTTTTGTGCGTGGTTGCAATTCCTGATAACAGTTGCCAATATGTGCTTAAACTGTGAGTTAATCAGACTAGTAAACACCTCTTATTTTCGAAAACATTTACATTCAACATTTTACGTGAATCAGTTCGTAACTGAATCCTCTTTTATTTTAAAGAAAGTATCGCACCTTTAGCTAAACTTAAATCCAATTTGAAACAGATTTATCTTAAAATGGTTTCGGTTTGAAATGCAAACCTTTTGAGTAAGAACCAGGTTCAAAGTTTAATTAGGCTTATGGCCAACCTTAGCATATATCTAACCATATCTGGTTGGTTGCCAATTTTGGGCAGAGATTAAACATCGCTATAAAAATATGAGGCTGCAGAATTTGCAGTAAATAAAAATGTGTATATAAAATATAAATAAATAATTTAATTTTAATTAAAAAAGGAATATTTAATGAACTATTTTATATATTTTATATGCTTGCCAAGAATCGGCCAACTATTTTGGCTACTATAAACTAAGGTCTGAAAACCTGGTTCACGAACTGTATCTCATGCCTTGAACCGAACGACCTATACATAATTTCTTTTTGTGTGCGCAGCCCTCAGTTGAAATACTTTTTGCCAGCAGTTACAAACATAGTCTTCATTCATCACACTCTGCTTAAACAGAGCTTAAACAGGGTATAATATTATATTTCTGTTTGCGTTACCATCAAAACTAGCAACTGTCAGGCTCATATTGCATTCTATAAATAAACACGATAGGTCCCCAGTGTGCAGCACGTGTCAGACATACGCTATATATATCTTTATATATATATATATATATATAATATATCTGAAATATGATTAAGCTGCTAGGCACTTCAGCATTTAAGTGTGCAATCCGTTTTGTGGAACGTGATATTCAGGGCTTAACTAAACTTGGGCGCGCATCAGGCCACGACGCTTATTTCAACACCTTTTGTTCGACCATCAATCAATCAAGCACTCAATATACTTATATAAATTGACCTAAACTACACAATTTCCCATTGCTGCTCATCCAAACTGTGTCATTAGTCAATCCACAACAACAACAACAACAGCAAACAACCTCATCGATATGGTTGTTGCCAGCAACAAGTTGCCACAAATGGATTTTATTTTATTTATTTTATTTATTTTGGCCTTTTTTCTATAGCTCTATATCTCATATAAAGTTCAACGTTTGAGTTCAATGTCTTGTCTTCTATTTTTTTTATATCTTTTTTTTCGTTTTCTCTTTTTTTTTTTTTGGTTTTTTTCAAACAACTTGAAACAAATCATTGAAATTAGTTCAGACTTTAATGGTTTTCAGCTTTAAATGGCAGCTGTGCAACAAAATAAAAGCAACAGTGCTCGAGGCAAGTGCACTCGACTGCAAGATACCCTGCAGGAAAAATAGTGAAACACATTATCCAACTAGTTTTCGGTTTAAAGGTATTTATAAATCTCTCATGTAGATTATGAGATTTTGAATAAAACTTAATATTATTTATATGTCTATATGGCCTACATAGAAATTTGAATGCCTCTTATGCACTTAGTCTCTGGTTTATTTAAATGGTTTTGTGGACTACGTACCAAATGTATTGTCTCTTATTTATATAGTCTCTTAGTTAAATAAGGCTATCAGACAAAAATCTTTATAACATGGCCAAATATTTATAATGTCCCAAATGTGGTCTTGCGCCTGTTTTAAGCAAAAGTTGGTTCCATCTTGTCGGGTGGAGCGTATAAATATTATATATGTATATATATAGTTTTTAATATTATTACTTTTCATCTGCTTAATAATACAATAATAAACATGTCTGCCTGCAACTGTTTAAGTGTCTTCTTCATTCTTTCAATTAAAATCAAATGTTTAGCCCAAAATGAATTTTTATACACTGTTCACAAAGCAACAAAGGAGTATATGGTTTTTTTTTTCAATAAGTTGCTTTTTTTTATTATTAATTTATTTTTAAATTAATTTTGTTATTATTATAATTATTTTATTTTTATCTGAATTCTATTATTATTATTCCATTTTTGTATGAATTTTATTATTATTATTTCATTTTTTATATTAAATTAATTTTGATTATTTTATATGAATTTTATTATTAATTTTGACTGTTTTATTTTTATATTAATTTTATTATTATTAATTTATTTTTATATATGAATATTATTATTGATATTTTTGTTTTATTATTATTGTTATTATTTGTCTTCTATGATTTTATTATTATTATTATAAATATTATTATTATTCATTAATTAATTTAAATCCAATAAAAGAGCATTCTTAAGTTCTTTGCCATTTCTGTAAGCCAACTTTTTGTACGTATTTAAAATTTCCATTAAAATCATGTGCCCAAGTCAGGTTTCATTTTCCATTCAACTGTGTGTGTGTGTGTGTTAGCCTGTGTTTGTGTATTATTATTGGTGTGCTTGTGTGTTGCCAACTGTCTGCAGACGAAGATATTTTTGTGTGTTTGTCGAATCAATATTTTTGGGCGTGCATAGATTTTTAATTGAATTGTGTTGTTTCTTTTTGTTGTCATTTTGTTGGCTTTTGGTTCTGGCGTTGAACAACAATGCCACATGTTGAACGGTTGGTTGCTTGGTTAGTTGCTTGGTTGGGTGTGTCCCGCATTCGAGTCTTGGCATGTGCAAGTCCAAGTGAAAGGCCTAAACCGATTCACAATGCGGCTTGCCGTTCAATTTGTATCAAATCAGAATTCTTGGACTAACATTGAACATAGAAAGCCATAATATAGCTCAAATGATATATTCTTGAGTTTGATTCCAACCATGCCAGCTTTGGCTAAAGTATTTGAGATGTAGCCCATTTGCTGGCAAATGTTATCCGTCTCTTTGACGTTAACAAAGACATTTCGGGTGAAAACAAATTTGATACGTTCCAATTACTAAATTATGCACTCTACTTGGCAGCTGCTGCACATGAAACTACACGATGGGAAAATCATTCAGCTGGAAGACTGAACAGCTGAGTTCAGAAATAAAAAAAAAACAGAAACATAAATAAATAAAGTAGAAACACGAAACACGAAACACGAAAAAAACCAAACGAACCAAAGCTGAGGTTAAGCTTCAGCGATTGAGGGGCGAAAAAAACATAAATGAAAACATGAAAAGAAAATGCTGGCGAAAATGTTCACTAATTAATAAAAAGAAAAAATAAGTAAAATTAAATGAAGCTAAAACAAAATAACAAAAACAAATACAAATTAGGGACGCCGAAGCTAGATATTAATTAATATATCGAATGATATATATAATAACTAGCGGGTATAACCCGGCCTTGCCCGTGGCACGTATGTTATAAAATCAAAATAGCTTTGAAAATGATTTTAAAACTGATCGGACGGGAATCAAACAACTTTAATGCAAATCGGAAAACTCTTAAAACTCACCAATAAAATCTTTGAAATGCATTTTCCACCGAAGGAGTTTAGATTTTGCAAAAAGTGTGAAACACGTCTCAAATGATTTTTCGTATAGATCTTTGGAAATAAATTTGAACACAAAACGTCATCCGCCAAATCTTCGACCCCCATTTGCACCAAGGAGGACCGGATTTTTCGAAAAGTGTGAAACACCCCTTAAATGAATTTGAACAAAGATCTTTGAAAATAAGTTTGGGGCCGATCGGATGGTAAACAAAAAACTTTCATACAACCGTTTTCCGCCAATTTACCACTGTTGCGGGTGGAATTTCCCAAATCGCTGTAATACGTATTTATTAAGTTCTTATGTAGAGCTTTGAAAATAAGTTTGAAGCAAATCGGACACAACTTAAAACTTCGCCCAAAAAATCTTTAAATCGCATTCCCCCCGAAGAAGTTTGAATTCTGCGAAAAGTGTGAAACACGTATCAAATGATTTTTCTAATTGATCTCTGGAAATGAATTTGAGTGCGAAACGTCACCCACCAAATCTTTGACCTCTATTTCCACCAAGGAGGAATGCATTTTTCAAAAAGTGTGAAACACCCCTTTAATGAATTTAAAAATAGATCTTTAAATATGAATTTGGGGCCGATCGGATGGTAAACAAAAAACTTTCATACAACCGTTTTCCGCCAATTTACCACTGTTGCGGGTGGAATTTTCCAAATCGCTGAAATACGTACTTATTAAGTTCTTATGAAGAGCTTTAAAAATAAGTTTGAAGCAAATTGGACACAACTTAAAACGCCGCCCAAAAAATCTTTAAATCGCATTCCCCCCGAAGAAGTTTGAATTCTGCGAAAAGTGAGAAACACGTCTCAAATGATTTTTCATATAGATCACTGGAAATGAATTTGAGCCCGAAACGTCACCCACCAAATCTTTGACCTCCATTTCCACCAAGGAGGAATGGATTTTCCTAAAAGTGTGAAACACCCCTCAAATGAATTTGAACAAAGATCTTTGAAAATAAGTTTGAGGCCAATCCGATGGTAAACAACTTCCACACTTGCGGGTGGAATTTCCCGAAACCCCGTCTTAACGTGCACCTACATCACATAAGGTAGCTACAGTGAAAATTTCAGCTTCCTAGCTCTTACGGTTTGGGCTGTGCGTTGATCACCAATCAGTCAGTCAGTCAATCAGTCAGTCAGTCAGTCAGTCAGTCAGTCAGGACAAACAGTTTTATATATAGAGATGATAAACAATCTCCCAGCTATAATTGTTATGACTGCACAGTGATATGATATGATGCAGAAAGGTTAGAAACCAGGAGTTTCTTATGAAAAGACTTTCTTTATAGACCTTTTGGTTCTAGCAGCTCTTTGACCTTTTCAGACCAAGCCTAGTTTCTGTAGGATAAGTCCTAACCATATTAGACAAATAAACTGAAACTCTGCGCAAGGTTTCGAATACCTTTTATTTGCATCGTTCTATTACTGCACGCTCAAAATTCTAACAGTAAGAAACAAATTATTAAAAATGCTAGACTTCACAAGTCTTCCTAAATAACGCTCAATACTGAAGGTTTGCGATATATGCTTAGGCAAATTGGTTGACTAATTTCTTGGCTTATCGCTGCTGGGCTTCTCGGGACTGATGTCGGCCAGCATCTTTTGTGTTTCCTGCGCCAGATTTACCAGTGTGCCCAGATCACGTTCCAAGGTATCAATGCGCTTCTTCTGCAGCTCAATAACATTTAGAAAGCGTTCAATCTCCTGGCCGCGCGACATGGCCAAAGCACGCCAATAGGCAACATCGTCGGTGACATCAACATACTCGGCCATCGATTTGGTGTGGTTCAAACGCTTCTGCAGCATCAGCACAATCTGGGCCAGGGTGTGCAGGCTCAAGCGTCTGTTAACAGCTTTCACTTTTATTTCACTGTCCCCGGCGGAACCTAAAGCGAACGAATCGGACTGTTGCGTGACATCGGGCATGCTAACGTCCAAATTCTGATATATTTCATCCCCCGCTATATAATCATTGGGCTTTGTATGAACACTTAGTTCATTGGGTTCACCAGGCTCCGCCAAAATTTTCAGATTGCTCATCATATCAACGGCTTCGTTGACCAGCTGATTATCCAAAGTGTTGTCCATGTTCTTGATAAACTGCTTCAAATAGCGCGACTTTTGATCAAAATGTAAAATATTAATTTGGACTTTCTGCCTGCTTGATAGGTTAAAATTTTCAAAACAAATTTCATTTGATATATATTTATATACATACATATATTTCTCTTTTTGTAGCACACGGCAGAGCTTACTCTGTAGGGCGAATTATTCGACAACATTCTCTGTTGACTTTTTCTCCGAGCAAATCACATAATTATCTCTTAACCCATACGTAACTTTATTTTAAAGCCGCTTTTTGAGCAATTGGCACAACATTTGGCTCCCAACCGAAATCTCTATTTCTTTTACTTGATTTCTATCATAAAAACTTTAATTGCTGCGCAAACATTTCCGCAGAAAATTTTCACTCGCCAGCTTCAATTTCCGTGAGTCGCATCTTTATATATATATATATATATATATATATATATATTATTTTTTTATGGCACACTTAACAACACACGAAATCTTGAACATGGCTAATTTCCTATTCCAGACCCCAAAGATTTTCTCTCTCTACTTTTAATGAGCTGCTAGCTTTAAGTTTTGATATTGTTTCCATTTTCACTGAGGTCACATTTACATTAAGACATTTGCACGTTGATGATTGCAACAAAGCGTTAGAAATGTTTTTTCTTAATGTGCAACATTTGTCATGAAAAGCAAGTGCAAAGGTGATCGACTTGTAGATGCCCTGTGCTAAATCTTTGTTGCTCTCATATATATAAAAGTAGTAGAAGTACAGGAGTGTTAAATGTGAAGACGGTTGCCGATGCGCAGCCGAAATATATCGGAAATGCAAATTAAAACTAAATTGTGTTTCTTTTTGTTATTAATAAAAATCCGGATCTAGAGCCAGCTAAAGAAATGTGTTTAAACCAGCATTAGATATTTTTATATTATTTTAAATTAATTAATTGATATTTTATGTTTTTTGTAAATTCATCAAGTCCTCTAATAAATTTAAAAAAATCAATTACTATCAAAATCCCTGATAAATTTACAAAAGTCGATAAATATCGATAAATATAAAAAACACAATAATAAAAATAAAATCATTTTGATGCATATTTGGATAAATATCTTATTAAAATAAATTGTGCTTTTATTGTTCGATGTTTATCGTTTTTTGTAAATTTATCAGGGATCAACTTGATTGTGAAATAAATTTGAAAACCGCGATCCATTTGCTCGCTGAATTCTATGAAGTGGTTCGAGGTACTAGCTTTCAAAGTAACAAGCCAAAAATTATATAATTATTTTATTTTTGTGTATATAAGTACGTCATTAATAAATTTTAAAGATGTGAAAGTTTCGGGAGTATGCATACCCAGTTTTCTGGTTCTACATCTTTTATCTAATGAGACTTTGGTAGTAAAATGCTCTAATCTTTAATTTAACTAAGATCAATAATAGGCAAATGTATTTTATTTTGTATGAAGGATTAATTATCAAAACCAGAATAAATAAAACAATTTACTTTGATTTATTCATACAGACACATGCTAAACACTTTACTCTTAACGATTTCTGAACAAATGTGGTGGCATTTTTCGAAAATAAAGTAAATCGCGTATACAAATTTGCATGCCTCGCTTAATAGTTCTAATCCCCAAGCACGCTGAGTTCAGGAAAGGACACAGACCTCTTTATCACTCTTGTCTGCCCATAGACCTTGTTTTTTATGATTATAGGGTATATAAAAAGGTTAACAAACTTAACAAGCAAATGGCAGGCGCTTATCAGATTTGCCTGTCAATCGGCTGCTTTTGGCCAATTTGCAAAAGCCGCATGGCAACGAAAAATTTGTTGGCCCAAAAAGTGCAAACTGTAAACATGACGAGTAATTTATTGTCTTTGGAAAAACAATGGCAATGTTAAATGCGTTGAACGCTCCACAAAATATGGTTCAAATAAATAAATAAATAAATGTATATAATTTATAAACTATTACGAGGCCGTTGCATGTGTGAAATGCACAGCAGCTGCATTTAATTGGCCTCAGAGGTTAATTGAAAAATCTCTCACATGCAGACACGTAAAGCTGTATACAACCTACCTTTCCCGTCCCCACCCGGAACTCTCTCCATGTGCTTTGTAGATCTATCTTTTACACACACACTCAGCTGTTGCCGTTTGGTGTCTCGCTGTGATTGTGGCAATGCGAAGTTGCGCAACTTGAAATTCATTTGCTGCAGATGAGACTGGGGCGACGAGACGAGCAGATGCCAAACCGAATTGCGGCCAAAGCAACAATTGCAAATTGTTGTGTAGCAGAGTGTTGTGCATGTGTGTGTGTGTGTGCATGTGTGTGTGTTTCTGTGGCATCTTCACGACGATGGGGCAACAAAGTCGCAAAGTCAAAAGCCTTCCTTGTGTCTTATGACTAAGTAGCTGCAGCTGTCGGTTAACTCGCCTCCAAATTTAGCCTTCATTTTTGTCTAAGACCAAAAACCAACAAGCTGGCGGCCTTTTCTCTCGGGCCGCCAACATGCAAAACTCAATTAACCAATCTTTTTGGCGGGGTGGGGACCCTCTGCTAGTTGGGGCTTATGCTAAGCAGCCAAACAATTAAACCACAAATTAGGTTGCTGATGGAAAGTTTTTTGCCTTTACTAAAGCCTAAAACTTTCGACGCAAAGAACTTAATTTAATTTTTAATAATTACTCATAAGCTTTATTTCAAAGTAGTTAATATACTTAAAGATAGCTAAAAGATTTTATTTATTATTAATTTATTATCTCTATATATAAAACTGTTTGTCCTGACTGACTGGCAGACTGACTGATTGACTGATTGGTGATCAACGCACAACTCAAACCGTAAGAGCTAGGAAGAAATTTGTACTGTAGTTACCTTATGTGTTAAAGGTATACGTAAAGATGGCGTTTCGAGAAACTCCAACCACATGTCTGGAAAAATCGCGAAAAACGTTTTATGAAAGTATGTTGCTTACAATCCAATCAAATTCATTTTAGGGGTGTTTCACACTTTTCGAAAACTGCATTCCCCTTTGGTGGAAATGGGGGTCAAAGATTTGGTGGATGACGTTTCGCGCTCAAATTTATTTCCGAGGATTTATATGAAAAATCATTTGAAACGTGTTTCACATTTTTTTTTGCGCAAAATCAAAGCTTCCTCGGTGGAAAGTCCGGTTAAGATTTGTTTGATGAAGTTTTAAGTTTAGTCCGATTTCCCACCCCATAGCTCGGTCATAACTTCAAAACTCATCTGATTTTCACGAGCTTTGGTTCGTTGTTCATGGTTTGGCCTCTTGATCAATTTGGCATCTAAATCTGGCAACATTTTTCTTGGTCAAATTTTATGTCATATATCCTTTATAGACACAGGTCAAAACTTCTCAACCCATATTTATTTAATAGTGTTTATTTATTGAGAAATTCATTACTCTAAAAGGTTAAAAAACATCTAAGAAACCAAGGAATTATTTGATTGAATCTAAAGGAGTATGCGTCCTAAGTTCACTTAATTAACTTTATCTTATTCTTGTTCTTGATTTTTCAGCTATAATAACCAACGAGAATTATTTTATCTTTTAGATATGATCTAAACATATTTTAGAAGCTTGCAACATGCCAAAAGTCAATAAAAAGCCGCTTGAATATTCATGAGCTTCAACTTTAAGAACTTAAAACTATTCGAAGACCTCCACCTGGTCTTAGACAAATAACAACTAAGTAACATAATTGTTGGCAGCTCTTAAGATTTTAGTCTCAGAAAATCTGCCTGAAATGTTTGCAAATTAATCTCAAGCTCTGCTTTGACTTTGAGATATATAATTGCTAACTAGAAATATTTGCTTTATTAACCCGAAAGCCTCTTAACTGTTTACTCTTAGCCCTTAGCTCATGCTGGTGCCCTAGACTTGACTAATATTTCAGAGCGTTGGCGTGCGGCAGACGTTGTGGCCGTTGGTGGCAAATTGAAGTAACTGCCATAGAGGCGGCAATAAATTGCATGTTGCATAAATAGCAGCAGCAGCGGTAGCAGCAGATGTTGCATGTGTTAGTGCGACAGTGTGTGCGTGTGTGTGTGTGTGTACTTGTGTCCAAATTGCCACAATGAGTGCAACTTTGACTCGACTGCAGCTTAAGTGGCCATGTTTGCCGCTGCTTGCAACTGCCACTGAATGTTGCGGCTGCCACTGCTGCAACAAGAGAATCTCTTCATAAAATATATTGAAAGTGCTTTGCATAAATTTTAGCTGCCAGTGTGCCCAAGACAATGCATTATTGCCACTGGCTTTGTTGCCTTTTGCTCTTTATGCTGGCAACCGCAAACAACGTCTGCAAAGTCTTCGCATTTCGGGCGAGAATCAATTTAAGCCGCAGTCACAGCTGCAGATGATGGAGTGACATTTGGGAACTGAACTTTCAATTGGTATTTGCCTACAAGTGTGGTTCGATCCCTAGACTTGGCCCAATCATTAGTCAAATTCGAATGTAACTCAATTAAAAAACGGGTCATTCATTAAGACAAACACTCGAGTCGAGTGGCTAAACCCCACGCCCACCCATGACTCATCTGCATAAAAGAATATGCCATGATGTGGAGCACTGTGCGCAGATGTGGCATCAATGTGAACTGAACTAAACTAACTAGAACTCAAATGCAGAGTGCTCTGAAGGGCAGCAGACGTTTCGTATACTCATCAGTCAAGCGCTGAGCTCATAGCTATAGCTGTTACAGATACAGATACAGATACATATGCATAGATAGATTCCAAGCATTTGATGGATGCATGCCATAACAACAACTAACACGAGCAACAACACAAATGCGACAAATTGCCAAATGCGCGACTTTTACACACACAATGAGGCACACACGCGCATAAAAATGCCCCAGTTGGAGATACAAATGTGTCTCAAGCTGAGTGTGACGCATTCTAATTAGACAGTTCTTGCCAGCGACCATAGCTATGGTCCGTTTATGGCACGCATTTGTTTAGCCAAACAATTTGATCAACATGTCAATGTCAACAGCAGCCACATGGAACCACATGGACCGCATACAGATACATCGCGTATACGCCCTGTGGTTGTTCAGCTTTTGTTTTACTTTTTCT